TCATCATGTAAGAGAATCATAGTATGAAAACACAAGCATAGAGAGGGTATCATCACTCACAGTACAGATGCTAAGCCAAAAGAGAGTCCCGAGTCACCTCACCCGACTCAGTGGTCTGAATGTGCCCCTGCCTGCGAATCTGCAATCAAAATCACACAAAACCATCACCAACACTGAAACCGGCACAAGAAACAGGCTCGGTAGCCAAAACCGTCCCTAAACCCCATCTTGACACACTGACACACATCTCGAGGCACCAAAACCCATCACCGGGACCTACGCAACTCACTAACACTGAACAAATCTACTTAACCACCCTCAACATTACAGAACCAGCCTCCACAAACCTCAAACCGTAGCGAACTAACCTCCAAAACCCTCGAACCGACTTAGCCCGGTTCAAGACCACCTCTGGCTCAACTCAAATGACCACGAAACCCTCAAAATTGGAATTAGAATGCCAAAAAACCCTAGGAACCAGTCTGAACCGGCGCAAAAGGACTCAAACCAGCCCTAAACTGGCCAAAAACCCAAACCCTAATCACTAACACGCAAAACGAGGCCGGTTCACCTTGAACTAGACCTTGAAAAATTATCAAACTTCACAGTTATCTAGGTTTCCATGTGTTGGGCCAGGAACCGGTCCAAACTCTCCAAGAACCGGCCCAAAAACCGGTGAACCGGTTGCCCGAAGGAAATCCCACTAAACCAGCTAGTTCACCTCGAACCGGCCACCCAAAATTTCCCAAACCCACTTGGTTTGATAGGTCTCATCCCCCTGAATCCAGAACCGGTCCAACTTCCCAAAACCAAGCTCATTTGACCACTGAACCAGCCGGTCAAACATTGAACCGTTTCTGGCCGGTTCAGTCAACTCCAAAACCCTAGTCCAATTAATTCAAGTTATTTAATTCCCATTTATCCCCAAGCACCCTTATCCCAGCTCCTACTATCCTCGGGGATAGCATATCCCCAGTTCGTTGAGTCAACCTGGACGGTTTGACTCGCCCATCCGCTGAGTTGACTTGGACCGGTCAACTCGGCCCAACTCGCCCTTTTTTTTTTGGGTTCGGCCTGCGGTTCAAGCCCGCGGGCCACCTAGTCCACTAGGCTAGCCCAACACGCGGACCCAGACCCTTCCGAGTCCATTCTCTTTCACCTGGCAACCCGGGTCTCCGACCTGGGTGCTGCAACACCCCCGCCGCCCGGAAAACCAGAAAAACAGCCAAGAAGGTGGCCTACCTTGGTCCGATGATCACCCGGAAGTACCGCACGAGCCCGGTGAACCACCCAACAGCCCTCAAACACTCGGAAAGCCGGCCAAAGCCCGAAAAAGCCCGGTCTCCCTCCGCGTTCTCCGTCGACCGAAAGACTCGAAAATTCCCTCTCTTCTTTGCTTGATTACAACAATTGAGTGAGGGGTTCAGCCAGGGCTTCAAAAACCAACGCTAAGAAGCAGAAACACGTAAACATCATTGCACAAAACGTGCAAATCCAACGGAAGAAATCATTAGAACACAATTCTTGTCAAATTTCCTGAAATTTGTAGATCGGGTCCCTGGATTTCATGTTAATCACAGAACAGTCCCTGAGTATTTTCACTCCAACCCCCAAACCTTTTAATTTCTACAACTTAGTCCCTGAACTAATAAAAATTTAAAATTTGGGTTGTTACAGAAGTCCAATTGATGTAGACCCGATCTCTTAGAAATTTCCGATGACCAGAGATCGAAATTCACAGACCAAGAATAGGGTGAAGAACAAAATTAATTAGGGGTTTTCTTCTTATTAATTACTTGTTCTTGTGTATTATTCAATCAATTTAGAATTTAATCCATTGAATCTTCCTGATTGAGCCAGATTACACGTTTAGGGTTACTGAACTGGAAAGGAATGATGCATAAGATCCCATTTTGGGGATTTTGAAATTCAGTCCCCACTCTTCTTATTTCTAACAATTAGGTCCCTCTAGTTTAGATTACGTGTACTTTGGTCCCTAATGTCCTTTATTTCATTCGATTCTATTTCCAAAAGTCCAAATTATTCTTTTCAGTCTCACCAAATTTTAATTTCATCAATTGGATCCCCTTAATCTTTTAGTTAAAACCAATTTTTTTGTATTTATCACTTAAGTCCCTATATTATCAAAATTACTAATTTGTCCCTAAACTGCGGTGCTACATGTAGGTACGTTTGAGTCTACTCCTTGAATAGTAGCCTAATATGAGACATTGTAATATGATTTTGATTTAATTATAAGAACGACTTTGTTAGAAAGTTTGGTTATGTTGTTTCTTGTCAAATAGGTGTGACACGAGAGGCTTAAGATTTATTTATTTTAGGTTTTAATTTATTTTTAAAATCTATTTTATTTAAACGCTTTATAAAAATATTAAGATTTATTTTATTTAAATTCGCTTTCTTCAAATTTATTTCACTTAAAATAAAATTTTCCAAATTTATTTTTTCTAAATACATTACTTGAATTTATTTTTTTCTAAATGAGAATGAATCCGCAAGTTAATGATATTTTAAACCAAAAAACATATTCTATATATATTAAAAGTTGAACACAATGCTATTTTTGTAACAAGTAGTAGTGTCATTAGATGACATGTATCACTATTTCATTAATTCTCTTGAAAATTACAAAGAATAATAAAATTTAAGAGTTAATGAACCATGCATTATATATATCAAATTTAAATCTTATCCATGTATATACTTGGAAAAGTGGGTCCTTTTATGTCAATTCAATGGATCATCACCCGCTTTCAAATTTATGAATAATGTACCTGAATACATACATGCACAGTCAAACTTAGCAGTAAATAAATCCTATAAATATATAAAATTTAAACACCATATTTTATAAGATCAACTTATTTTTATTGATGACATGTTATTAGTAGAATTAAAATTCTATACACTATATATTATTTTAATTATTTTTTCTATTTATTTATTAATGATTTGTCATTGTTTTAATAAAAATATTTAATTGCATTTTCTTTAACTATTGTACATCTATTGAAGAGTCCTTTTTTGAGGGAAATTTATTTAAGGGACATTATGTAGGTAAGATTCATTGTATTAGCAATTATATTTTAACGACCCTAGTATTATTAATCCTAACAACTTGTTGAGTCTGAATCACTAACCAAAAATACTTAAATCCAATCTCTTCCGTGTTTTATTGATATAGGATTCGCCTAAAGATGTCACACACATCTACTCCCCTTTGGGGTCTCACATACACCCTCCCTTTTAAAACTCAACGTTCTCGTTGAGATTTACCCCACCACCGTTCAAGTTTGCACGCGAAATGGCTCTGATACCACTTCTAATTACCCGATTACTACTGGGTCTAGCAACTTATTAAGTCTAAACCACTAGTCCAAAATAGTTAAACCCAAGTTTTTCAATAGTAGGCTCTAATCTCTTATAAGCCCAGCATCTCTCCCGTGTTTTGTCGAAATGGAATTTGTCCAAGGGTGTCACACACACATACCTTCCTTTGGGGTGTCACATATATTTGCATGAATTATATTTGCTTAATAAATGGATGGTATTTTATGAGGTCACATATGTGTGTATTGCATTTACTTAACAGATACATGGTATTTTGTAAAATCATTTTTTTTTATTTTCAATGCAATTAGAAATGATAAATAGATTAGATGAATAAAAACATGTATTGGGACAATTATGAGACCAAAAGAACTTCCTACCATGAATATAAATTTTTCTATTTATTTTTTTATATTGCATGTCAAAATCCATTAATATTATATTCGTATTATATAATATATTATCCGTTAGTTACATATATTTTTGATACTATAAAAAGATTACAATATTGAAAAAGAAATAATTTTATTTCTTAAGTTATACAAGTCCGTGCAATCAGGAAATTAGTAACTAGCTCGTCACAAAAACAAGAACGGAGATGGGAAAACTCGAGGAGTGAAACATGGAGCTTTCTATGCACCTGTCAAACATAGGTTTCTTTCACTCTCGGTCATGTGCAACACGGGCTGCTGCCGTCCTTGGCATGGCCCTCCGGGCTCCGTCATTACTGCCGGAGCTTTTGGCTGAAAATCAGGTCGGTTTTATCCCAACCTAGGGTTTCCCTAAAACAATTTTTTAAAAAAAATTGTATCTATTACGAGAATAAACGAGATGAAAATTTCAATTTGTTTTCCCTTTGTATGAAATGATAAAAAATTTAATTTCTCAAGAAATGATTGAATAATACATCTTTTCTGTAATAATCCAAGAGTTACTGATATAAATAATTTGTTGAATTTGAATTACTGACTCAAAATAGTTAAATCCAAATTATTTATTAGTAGTTTCAAGTCTCTTATATACCATATTAGATTACTCTTAAAAATCGATGTGAAACAAAATGTCACGTCTTCTTAAGCTGTATATTTTATATGTAAATTAAAAATATATATATTTCTAACTATTTCTCTTTCTTAACCTACATCCAATTTGAATATAAAAAAAAAATAAAAATTAAAAAAACTGGAAATAAATTTTAACTTAAAAGGTTTTTTCTTAAATTTTCAACCTTCGTTTGTTATAAACATGCAGTCTAAAATTTAAAATTTAAACACAAAAAAATTGACTTTTATATAAACAAAACAACCCTGAAATATACTTTCAAATAATGTTCATTTGACAAAACTAGACATGTTGTCAAAAAATTCTTCGGCGGTTAAACCGGCTTTTGACGGTGGAGAGCTTCTGTAAGGGCCACGCCGGTCCCAGCGTGGGCTCACCAGGTCGAAAGTCAATTTTAACTTTTCTAAAGTTCTGGGAGAACAAGTAACCAAAAAATAAAAAAATGAAAAAATGAAAAAAAAAAGGTTCCCGCAGAACTAATATAAATAGCAAGGCTGCCCACAAGGAAGTCCAAGCACAGCCTCGCAGCCCCACACACTGGTTTAATTCCCTCTCTGATCATCTCCTTCAATCTCTTCAATCTTCCCATGGCTTCCTGCATCAGCTTCAAGTCCCTGGCTATGCTTGCTCTTGCACTGGTCGTTTCTGTCCAATCCGCCATAGGTAAGCAAAGTTATTACTCTTTCGCCATTCCCCCTTTAAATTGGTTGCTTGGTTAGTAGATTTTTTATTTTATTTTTAATTTAAGGAATTATTTAGTACACCTAAAAGAAATTAATTTTCTTTATCTTTGATTCAATGTTAAAATTTAGAAAATTAAAAAATTTAAAAAAAAAATTTAAGATTTGGATGGCCATATTATGAGAAGAGATTAATTGTGAAAATAGTTTTTTTTAATATTTTTTATATGTGCTAATAATTTTATTTGAAAATTTTTTTAAAAGCTCTAGCTCTTTTCTTTTTTTCAATAGACTTCTGAAAGGAAGGAACTTCCAGAAAAGCTCCACACTTTTTGAAATGGTTTGACTTTTGGACTGAACCTAACAGTCTCTATTGTTTACAATACCGCGTTTTCCTAAAACCATAATGTCAAGATCCTATAGAGTTTCCTATACATATATATACATATATATATATATATATCAAAAATTAATCTCATTTTTCTTTTCCCTTTGCTTGGTGGTCTATGTAGGAGGAGGCATAGAATGCGAGAATTTGAACAAGGACTCTTGCGCGTTCGCGGTATCATCCTCAGGAAAGCGGTGCATACTAGAAAAGCAGGTGAGGAGGAGCGGCGAGGAGGCCTACACATGCCGGGCATCAGAGATAGCGGCCGACCAGTTGAAGGACTGGGTCGAGACCGATAGCTGTGTCGAGGCGTGCGGACTCGAGAGGACCGCCCTTGGCATCTCATCCGACTCCCTCCTTGAGCCTCGATTCACCCAGAAGCTTTGCTCGGCTCAGTGCTACCACGGCTGCCCCAACATCATTGACCTCTACTTCAACCTTGCCGCCGGTGAAGGTAGACTCCAATGCTTTATCTTTACTGTTAAAGTAATATGAAAATAGTAGGTTGTGATGAAGTCTAGCAAAATTCTATCATATTAAAAGCATAAACTCTCAGCCTCCCACAAGGAGAGAAGTGGGTTAAGTAACTGAATTCGGTAACTGGTCGATTGGCCAAATTCTAGCTCTATTTGAATAGTTTACTATCATTTTGTACTTACTGATACGAGTGTTTTTTATTTTTTTCCTTGGTAGGTGTTTTTCTTCCGAAATTATGTGAAGCACTGGGGAAAGATGCGCGTAGGGGATTGGTAGAGGTGAGAAGCTCTGGATTGGTTGCACCGGGACCAGAAGCCATCCATGCCGAGAGGTTCACCATTGCCCCGGCAATATCTCCTTCTTACCCTTAAAAGCAGCAGTGTCAGTTTACAATAAGAAAGTTTTACGTCCCAGTGTTGGTGCGTTGACTATAGATGTCTTCGTATTACATATAAAAGATGAACTAAAACCAGATGTCTGGGGTCAATAAGGCTGTGTTCCAAAGCCAATAGCTAGCTGTGTGCATTAGGCGGATCTAGATGTGTCTAAAACGTTTTAGTTTTCATGTAGCATGCCCATTGCGGGGCTTCTTAGTGGATTTTGTTCATATATTATTTATTGAGCTGATTCACTATTCTTCTCTACTCCTACCCTCTTTCCAAAAGAAAAATCCAACGAAATGAACAAGAAAAATGAAGACGTACGCAGTAATTTTGCTTTTATTCCCAATTTATTATTTGTTTTTTTCTAATGGTCAAAATGGTTAAATCGGGACGTATGAAGCCCAAAACCAATATGGGCTTTTTGTTTTTAGTTTTTATTTTAAGTTGCAAATTTGGGCCAATTTGATGGCTTGGATTTGGAATTACAGCCCAATATTAACTGACTAATAATCCTGTGACCACAAGATCAATTGCGGGCTGTTTGGCCACAACAATTCCAGTTTGCGTAGACCGCAGGATTATATTCCGCCGCCCCCAACACCCAAAACTTTTAGTATTTTATAATAAATTTCGGATTTCTATATTTTTATATCTTTTTTCACCTTTAAAATTTTCTAGCAAAGCTACAATCGTCACTCAATTGGGTCGGGTGCTCACCAGAATAAGGGATTAGAAACCGTCCACCTATCCCTCTTCTCTCACTTGTAGAGTAAAAAACAGAAAAACCTTTTCTACCAAACTCAGCAAAATAGACAAGCACGATTTTGTATGACATTTTGCACAATCCAGCGACATGGAACATTTTTTACCAGCAAAAGCCGACCAACCGAAAGGGCTTTTGCCGGAAAAACCCATTTTATCAGTAGATGAGAAAAAAGGGGTTATGGAGGCGGTGGCAGTGGATGGGATCCAAAGCCTTCAACCTCAGTGATGGAGTCAGAGGTTGTCAACGTGACAAATATGATGGCAATGGAAGATATAATGACGGAGATGGCGGTGGTGGTGAGGGAGAACGGCCATGGGGTTTTTTTTGGAGAGAGAATAAAATAGGGGAAAATGTGCAAAACATTAAGCAATGTAAAATACTTAATTTTCCGTGTATTTTTTAATAATTTGGTGCGTATTATTTTATAAAAAAATAATTTAGTATATAATATATAATAAGAAATTAGAAAAACAATTTGACATACATCTTTAATATTTTAAAATATTTAAAATAATTTGATGCGGATTATTTGTATAAAAAACGAACTATAATAATTGATTTTTATATTGATATTAGTAATTTTTATTCACCAATATGTAACTTTTCAAAAT